GTTCAATAACTGATCATCTCTCTCCTTTTCGATTATTTAAGAGCGTTCAGCCTTCAGTATGCTGCATTCAGATGCACCATTTTGCGGCAAAGAACCAGGTTCAAGTGAGTAGTGATTTCACTGGCAGAGATGTGAATTTTGAATGGAAATTCCAGCACCTATGAATCTTTGGTAGGTGGCGTGTTACCAGCTGGGGAACAAGTAGAAATAGTTTTGGTTTCCTTGATGTGCCGAAAATCAGAAAATAAAAAATATGCACCTCGCTTTTGTGGCGACTTGCTATACTTGTATTCAGTTTGCGATATTAAGCAGTTGATGGGCTAGATATCTAATACTCCAGTGCAGAAAAGAAGCCTCGAGGAATTGTGATGCTCCAGTCCAGTCCAGTGTCTGGCCCCAACTAGCCAGGACGCTGTTGCTTCTGTCTTGCAAGTAACCGGTCAAAAAGACGGCATTTCTACACAATGGCGCTAGAGCAGCAACAAGCAGTGCCTGCAAAAGGTCTTGTGTAAATTGGACTAGTACTCTTTTGATGCGATGAATGAATGAATGGTTCATGATGTAGATCCTGATGCCGACCCAGAGCGTGCAGTCTGAAGCTGCTTTCAGAAAGACCGACTCTACTCTAGGCGGCTAGCTAATTAACTGAGCTGCAAACATTTTCAGAATGTGAAAAATGCCACACCGGAATGTTGTGGTAAATCATCACGTCTCGAAAGATTTGTGTGCTCTGCCGCGGCTCTTTGGTCCGACGTCCAACGCCACACCGGAATGTTGTGGTAAATCATCACGTCTCGAAAGATTTGTGTGCTCTGCCGCGGCTCTTTGGTCCGACGTCCAACGCCACACCGGAATGTTGTGGTAAATCATCACGTCTCGAAAGATTTGTGTCCACTTTATGCAATTTTTTTGCCATGTAGTTGGGTAAACTTATATCAGTAGTTCAGTATAGCTAGTTCTTACTCATTTGCTATGAAAAAGTAGTTTTAAATTTTAATACAATGATAATTCATTCAAACATCAATACGTGCTTCTGACAAAAATCCCATACTGCATACGTGCTTCTGACAAATATCATGGATGTATCAAGTCACGTTTTAGTATTAGATACATCCGTATCTAGAAAATCTAAGACAAGAATTTTGGGATGGAGGGAGTACTAGCATTTGTTAATGTGATGTGTGGATTGTTGATAGGATTTTTCTTGTCTTCTGTTTTTGGTTACACAATATATTCAATTTTAAAGATGTCTTAGTTATTCTTTGTTGCATGCCCAGCTAATGACATAAAAATTGGCTTCTACTCCCTACGTATCAAAATATAAGACATTTTCTAGGCTAGTTTAGCCTAGAAAAACGTCTTGTATTTTGGTACGGAGGTAGTAAGTGCTTAACTATTTGGGATATGTTTCTCATGAAACTTTCGTGGTGGCTTAGCAATGACTTGTAATTTCAACTCAAAGTGTTAAGTAGTTGGTGCCTGATTAATAGTATTGCAAGTACGTAGTTTCTTCTTTTTTGCGTCCTAGCTGCTGCACCGTCAATCCTGCATGTATCCTCGTTCCTCGCCCTTGCTGCAAGAGACCTGTTCCGTTTTTCTGATGAATCAGCATATTTCTGGGAAGAGAATCAGCATGCGGTAAGTTGAATGACTTGTTGGAACTTGTAAAGAACTGCTAGTGCCAAACATTTTCCGACATTGCATGCAATGCCTAATCATGGATGTAATCTGAGCTAATCCTTGGATGTGAAATATGATACGAAATTTGAGGCCAGTTACAATACTCAATCACCATGAAAGGAGATCCTAATCAAGGTTGGTAGCCAACATAAGACACTAACCGTTGAATCGGACAAGTACGAGTGCTGATATCTCTGTGACCGACCTCACCTCGTGATAAGAGCATTGTTGGAGCATATCGATCTTCATACTAGTAATATTTCATATCATTGGCATTCACATTCTGGAAAGTCGGTCTTTCTTAAAGCATACATTCTGGGTCATCATACATTCTGAAGCATTGCAACAGAAGAGTACAAGAGTTCAGACAGACCCTTTGCAAGTTGAGGCGCCGGCGCTGCACCTTGATGCTATAGCTAGCAGCCTCGTGCTCTATCATGGAGAAATGCCTCGATGATCGCCAGGGCCAGGAGTGGCGCTCCCTTCAGAACTGGTGCCGTGTATCATCAGATGTGCTAACGAGGAGCTCTGGGTGTCGAGGCCTGAACTGGGGTGGTTTCACACCCCTAGAATATAGGGTGTTTCTTATTAATAAAATGGCCGCATGCATCTTTCTGATGCAGAGGCCGGGGGATAACCTACTTTTCGAAAAAAAGGACAAGGTGTTTGTTTGCCTGGACTCGATCGGTGTCGGGCCAAGACCAAGACCACTGTAGTACCCCCTCCAACCTGTTAAGGCGTTCAATCATCTGAGTGCGCGCATGTTTTTGGTGGCCACACCCTTTATGTGGCATCCATAGGCACCAAACAAACAAACTTGCCCATGTGCTATGAGCCTATGAGTTAAGTGGGATATGGCCATGTGCCCTGTCCTACTGTTGTAGTATTTGAACAGAATGAACAACTAATCCTATCGCGTTAAAGAGTGGTAGATTATAGGGTTACGTTACATGTTGATCAGCAAATCAATACGATAATCGATATAACTCAAAGCTACTTGAGGGAATACACAGGCAAAACAAAACCAATTCTTGTAAACACATCGGTCACATGACATGAATTCCATTCCTAGTAAAGATATAACATGACCATAGAGAATGGGAAGAATGAACAATAAGTTTTATAGTACAAGCCACCAACTGCCTAATATCATGACAAGTCACAGTACTCGGATTTTATTCCTCAAGATAAGCATATAGAGATGCAGAAAAATGAACAGTCAGTTCCTTAGTATTAGGTTTCTAGTCCATCAAAGCACTAACTGCCTAAATATCATGAACTCAATACAAGTATAATAAGTCACCAAATATGAAATTTTTAGTTAAGCACTCAGTACAAGCTAAATCATGCTGTTAGCTGGGCATATGCAGCAGAAACAACCAAACTTCAAGAAGCCCATGCTCAAGCTAGTACAATTAAAAAAAAATGACAATTCATAAGTATTCCTAGTAAATATTATGTGTACTGGAGGATTCTGGTTACAAGCAGAGACACATATTTACAAATTCCATTTTACTCATATTCTATTATTACCACTACTTCCATGATTCTTTCATATCTAGTACTAGTATTCCCCAAGGCATCAACTCCTTAATTAAAATTGCGAACCAAAATGCAACTTATAGCAAGTCACAACTAAGACGCCAAAAATATATATATGCATAACAAGCCACAAGCAAGTTGTTATCACACAATTAGCAGATCTTACTAGTAAAAGGTAGTATGTATTAAGGGAATTCTTGTTAGTAGCACAGATGCGTGTCCAACGATTCAATTTATTCAAAGATTATTATAATTAATTTTCCAGGCACAAAAGTAGAAACTAGGAGCCCTGGTTTCTCTCTAGAAATAAACAACACAAATTGGTTACTGAGCCCTAGCAGCCGATGCAACATAGCAGTATTCCACAAAAAGTATGCAGCAGAAGGAAATTTACACTTCCATAAAACGAGCTCCGAAAGGGATGCGCTCTCCACCTATATATCTGAACTCATAGGTGAGAGTTCCCTGAAATAAATCTCCGCGAGTGAAATCACTACTCCCCTGAACCCATCTACTAACCATTCTGAAACCATCGCCACAAAATGTTGTGTTTGAATACAACATCCAGAAGGTTCAACTCACCATATCACTGAATGTTCTGAAACGACAGCAGATTACACTGTTCATGGCAATTGGCAAAGCAGCAGACTCACTATATCATTTCGAGCATTCACCACTCACTACCTGAGTCAATCTGGCAATACATACTTTCTACAAACCGATCAAATCAAATGCATCTGGTCTGGTTCCCAACTTTACACCATCAGTCAACATAAATGCATTCGACGCCGAGCACACGACTTTGCAGTTACCGGTCCGCCCACAGGTTCTCCTCCTCTTCGCCAAAAAACGCAAATCTCCCCTGCTGCTGTTGCGTCACAAAAGCAGCGTGTTAATCTACATCAAATCAGCGTCTTACTCTTGGGCAAATTCTACCCTTTGGTGCGATGATTCAGGATGCAACTTGTGCAATTCTGTTCTTCCAAAAATATAACTAGGAAACGCACCAAGTTTCTTGCACCAAAGGGTAGAATTTGCACAAGATTAATGATTAAGACACAAGATTAAGGTGGTCCTATACTCCGAAGAAACTGAGTACAGTTGACTCGACACTTCCAAAATCAGCTTTCTTGCAACAAGGTGATCTTATACGACAATTTTCTGAAAAACTGAACATAAATTGCAGGTAATATAGAAATTAGGTCGGTAGCATACTAAAAAATAATTAAGCACTTAAAAGCTTATTTACATTATTAGCCGCGCGCACTAACAAAGAACAACAAAAGTTGAAAGACAAGAGAATCTGCAGCCTAAAAGATGAAGAGATTGTGCAGCAAAAAGAACTAGAATTGTATCGATAACAGCTGCATATCTGAAAGTTGATTTCATCCAGAGTTTATTATAATTACTTTCCAGAACTAGCTGTCCTGTGTTTTTCTCTATATAAATGAAAAACACAAACAAAAAAAATTAAACGATGGGGCCTGGCAGCAAATAAAACATAGCAGTATTCCATAGAAAGTTTGCAGCAGATGAAAATCCAATCTTCAATAAAATTCATTAGCTCCAGAACTATACCAACGGTTATCAGGCATCTAAAGATTTCTATGAGCATAACCATTGCGTAGGAAGGATACAAAGGCACGATCTTCCAGTTTTCAATGCCAACTAAGTAGATATAATTTTGCGTCAACAAAGTAAGTAATTTATAATGCTAATTAAGCTCATACCTGCAAATTTGCATTAATTTCCTCATATAAGACGAACAAGTGCAGATTTCAGTGAGAAGCTTCAACTTCATGCCCAGTGCTGCTCCCATCACAACCAATCAAACAAGGAGGCCATGCCATAACGTACGGATAGGCACAGTCCCCAAATGTCCCGTGGATGAGCGACTCAATCTTGATGGTCTCCAATGAAAGGAATAAGAACCAGCAGCGGAGTATGCCAACAGGGGTAATACATTTCATGGACAAGTAGACATATCCAGACCTAACTTGCACAACCCTAAGGTGGCCCAGCCAGCCCCGAGTTACCCGACCAATTTCTTCACTCAAAGAGAGTATGTTCTGCGGCACCCAAATCCCAATTCCATCACCATCTACACCACGGATCCAAACATGGAGGAGGAAGTCATCATGAGATGCATAGACAATGCATAGGTGACCATCCTTAGTCTCCCCAGCCTTGTAATTGCACCTCAAAACGTCCACCTGCAAGGGTAGATCCACATTGGTGACCTCCATGGTGGCTGTGTTGATCCTTATCATGCGGTGTTCGCCATGGAAAGGCCAGTAAATGGAACCATGGACCAGCATGCCAGCATTGTACTTGAGGTTGTTGTCACCACCGATTTCAACCCATGGGTGGATAGCCCAGTGCCCCAATCCCATGTCTCCGACGAGAAGACGGCAGCACGAACCCTAGACACGTCGACGCAGACACAGACCACCCGGAACGACCAGGGGTTCTCCTCACAAGACAGCAGACGCGAACCAAGCCAGGCGAAACCACGGAGACACCCTTCCCTGGCATCCTCGGGCAACGGGATGATGTCCACGGCCCAGGTCATGGGGTTCACGGCAGCAACGGACATCATGTTCCAGTTCCACAGGAGGATGTAACCGTCGCGACAGTCCACGATGCCCCAGCCCATGGGATTGGGCCATGTATACGTGATAGCCCGAATAAATTATGAAAAATATATCCTTTTCACGGAAATTATGAAAATTAATGTAACAATGGATATATGGATATTCATTTGGTATTATTTATATATACATATTTTTTATATATGTTTGGTCAAACATAAGAGGCATTGGTTTTTGTAACTCAATTTACACGCCATCTATCTCGGGAAGAAGGGAGCATATAGCAATGGGAGATTTTCTAAAAGCAAAAGAAAAAAACACAGTGGGAGATCTTCTCAACAAAAGAAATTGCAGTGAAACTTTGCCATATAATGTTCTGCTACTTGAATATAACATACTGAAACTTGAACTCGATTAAATAACCGGAGAAGAGATAAAAGGTTCAGTTGCTGAATGTTCTAAAATGATAGGCAGACTCACGGTATCATTCTGGGCACTGGCCACTACTCGAGGCAATACATTGCAAAAGCAAGTATCCTTTGTACAAATCTATCACAACAAATGCAGTTGATTCCCAACTTTCCTCATGAGCAGCCACCAACTTTCCTCATGAGCAGCCACCAGAAATAATGCATTTCGATGCCAAGCACAACGACGACTTGCCACCCGCAGATTCCCCTCCTCTTTCGCAAAAACGCAAATATCCCTGCTGCTGTTGCATCACAAAAGCAGTGTGTTAATCTTGTGTGAGTTCCTACTCGGTGCACTGCTTCAGGATGTAACTTGTGCAATTCTACTCTGCTATCTCTATACTTGGAAGAAACTGAACATGGTTGACACTTGCATTTTAAAAATCTGAACGTAAATTGCAGTAAATGTAGAACAAAACAGTAGCACCGAGATGCAGAAAGAATGCAGCAAACAATAACTACTTTCAGAACTCTCCGATATCTAGTCAAGGGAACAACTGGCTAACATTGTGAACTGAAATACAAGTATAACAAGTCGCAACTAAGCTACCATAAAAATTAGGTCGGGAACATATCCCTAAGAAGAAGAAGAGGCAAATAGTTGAGCACTTAAAAGCCAATTTCTTATTTTATGTGCGCACAACAAAGAACAGCAAAGGTTGAAAAACATATCCTCAAAAATTAAGAGGTTGTGCAGTGGAAGAAAAATGGAAAACAAGAAAATTTGCATCCTCAAAGATGAAGGGATTGTGATGTACAAAAAAAGTAATATGCATAAAGGGATTCTTGTTAGAGTCACAGATGCATATCTGAAGTTAATTATATTCAAAGATTATTATAATTACTTTCCAGAGCTAGCACTGCTGTGCTTTTCTCTCAATAAATGAGAGAACACAAACACAAACAGTAGGAACAAATTGGTCAATGGGGCCTAGCAGCAAATGCAACATCTTCTAGCAGAATTTTACCAATAGTTTGAAATCATCTAAAGGTTTCTAGGCATAACCATCAAGATAGAATAGCACGATCTTCCAATTTTCAATGTCAACCAGATATTATTTTGCATCATCAGAAAAGTAATTAATAGTGGTAAACTCATACCGGAAAAATCCCATTCATTCATTTCCTCGTACGGCAAACAAGTGCAGACTTCAGCAAGAAGCTTCAACTTCATGTCCAGTGCTCCCATCATCACCAATCAAACAAGGAGGCCAGGCCATATAATACGGAAAGGCACAGTCATCAAATGTGCCGTGGATTAGTAACTCGATCTCCATGGTCTCCAATGAAAGGTAGAAGAACCAGGTGCGCTGTGTGCCAGCATTAGTCATGCGTGTCATGGAGAAGTAGACACATCCAGACCTCACTTGCACAACCCTGACTTGGCCCTCCAAGCCCCGAGTGACCCGATCAATTTCCGCACCCAAAGAGAGCATGTTCTGCCGCACCCAAATCCCAATTCCATCACCGCCCACACTACGGATCCAAACATGTAATCAATAGTTGTGTGTGAGGGTAGATCCACAGAGGAGGCAGTGTTGATCTTGATAATGCGTCCTTCGGCATAGAAAGGCCAGTAAACTGAACCGTCCACCATCGTGCCTGCACCGTACTTGAGGCTGTTTTCACCACCGATCTCCACCCATGGGTGGACGGCCCAACCCCTTGTATCCGACGAGAAGACGGCAGCACGAACCCTAGAGACGTCGGCGCAGAGGCAGACCACACGGAACGACCGGGGATTCTCGTCGGAAGTCAGCAGGTGGAAACCAAGGAAGCCGAAATCGCTGAGACTCCCATCCGCGACATCATCGGGGAAGGAGATGACGTCCACAGCCCAGGTCATGGGGTTCACCACAGCCACGGCCCAGAGAGTATTCCATAGGAGGACGTAACCGTCGCGGCAGTCCGTGACAGTCCAGGCGTCGTCCAGCGGGAGGGAGGTGAGGAAGAAGTCGCCACGGCGGAGGGCGGCGGTGACGACGGGATCCGAGCGGCGCAGGGGTGCGAAGGAGGGGGCGGTGTCGTCGTCCACTTTGAGGAAGATCCCGAGGAGGGGCGCTGGGTGAAGGGCTCGGAAGAGGCGGCGGAAGGACGGGGAGGAGCGGACGGCGCAGAGCCATGGGCGGCAGGTGAGCGCGGCGCGGACGAGATCCGGGAGGTTGGGCAGGCGGAGGAAGATGTCGAGAAGTTGGTCTTGGCCGAGGGAGGATATGGTGGTGGTCCCGTCGGCGGCGGTGGCGAGGGCAGTGGTGGAGGGGATGGACGGAGGTTTCGCTGCTGGCGGCGGCGGCGGCGGCTCGCTGGACATTGCTGGAGAGTGGGTGGATGGAGATTCTGGATCCCTCTGGCTGGTCGGCTACTTGTGTATAGTACGCATGGCCCAAGCCCATTATATATAGGCTTAATGCTTTGAGCCCATGTACGCAATAGTCCAAGACTCCAAGTAGCCCATGCTTTGGAATTAAACAGAGTTTTTTTGTGTGCACCTAGTACTACTATAAAAAAAATATAGGTTATAGGTTTTTATATCAGTTACTCAAAAAAAAACTCCTAGCAGTTACTCAAAAAAAAAAACTACTATATAACAGTGATAGATTTTCCTGAAGAATAAAGAACAATGGGAGATTTTCTCAAAAAATAACAGTGAGAGATGGATTTTTATGGGATGAATATATAATCAGGTCATGATAAGAAAATCAAACAAGAAGGGTACTCGCATGTTAAATTTTAGGGGCACACAATATCCCGAAAAGTAAGGAAACAAGTGCGACTATAAATTAAGTTTTCTGTTCCTCACATCATTGTGTTTTCTTGTGTCATGAAATAAACACAATACTTACAACCTCTATGTTGCTTTGGGATGCTGTGTTGTCAGTAATAGAATACAAAGTACTCTATAAGACTAATATGATAATATTGATATACTATCAAATATGGGGTTGATATTTTTACAATTTGGATCCCATCACAATCCAGTCGACACATATGCCAAGTTCTGTGTGTGATCATATATTCGCACGCACAACAACGATCACACAGTCGATCTTCATCTTACACACGGAGCAACATATAAGGTGCTTTGAGAGGCAGGCAGAGCCACTGCTAAATTACCTAAGGTGCAGTAGTACTTGAAGATTATTTCTTGATGGAGAGGGTGGATCACCCCCTTCATAGAACACCCCCTTTACTCAACTTCTTCGGTACCATAAGATTGGTAGAAGCTCATGAACCTCAAAGTGAATTCTGCGATGGTTTTAGTTAGGGTCGTCTATTTCGGTAGGCTACAGTTCAGAAGTCAACCGAATAGAAAAACATGTACCTTCAATCTTCATGAAGTATTGTATGGCTTCCCCTTGGTCATGGCCTTCCACGACAAACTGTTCTATACTGATATCCAAAGTTTCATCTTTAGATCTGTATTCTTTGTGTTGCTCTTTCTGAAACTTGTAGCCTGCACACTGCGCAAGGCACAAGCAAGCAGAGAAACAACACAAACATCAATATATGCTACATGGTAGTCTAGTTGGGAGATGAAAACTAACTATCACACCACAGTGGAGATGCTTGTTCATCAGTATATGCTCACATGGTCAATGCATAGCCTCATGGTGATGCCCCATGTGCCATGTAGGATCGGATGTCAGGGAAAGTGGGTTTGGATAGGGAAGCGGGATCCTCTGCAAGAGGCAGGTGCTTGGGAAGAAAAAGTGTGGTCTGATGTAAAAAACTGAAAAGGTTGAAATGAAGAGTAGAGAAGCATATGTATTAAAGTTTCTATTTTCTATTTCTTGATGAGGCCCACTAGTAGTAGCTTGCGTTGGGGAGAAAAAATCAATGTAGTTGTCTCACGCTACTTTTTCTCATGGGGCATCTGCATCCATATGTCATCACTGTACATGCCCTAACCTAGTGCTGCATCTCAAAAGGAAAAGGAAAAGGGGACAGTAATGAGCAATGAAGAGGCAGAGGCCGGGGAAGTGAAATTCTCCCCCAATTTTGGGCTCCTCCCACCCTAGCCGCTCCTTCTCCCACCCTAGCCGCCCCTCCTCCTCCCACCCCAGCCGCTCCTCCTCCCACCCTAGCCGCCCCTCCTCCTCCCACCCCAGCCGCTCCTCCTCCCAACCCTAGCCGCCCCTCCTCCTCACCCCCCTCTTCCCTTCCTCGCCGCCGCTAAGGCAGCCGCCGGGCAAGCCCAGGGCGCCAAGGATGGTGGCGGCGGGGCCTCGGTTGCCCTGCATCTGCATGGGGAACCCCGGATCTGGAGCGGCGGCTCCATTGGCAAGGCACGGCCGGCTAGTAGCCGTGCGGGCGGTGGATCTGGTGTGCCGGCCGCGCGGGCGGCGGGATCCGGTGGTCGTTGGCGGCCGGCGGCGACTTTTGCGGCGGTCGATCGGTGTGCGTGATCCGGTGCCTCGCCTCCTCCCCTGTTCAGCATGCGGGCCAGCCTGGTCGGGCCGCGCTTCCTCTTGGTCGCCGGTTCTGTACAGGAGGCGCTGCTGGTGGCGGGGATCTAGTTCAGGTGAAATCCCTGGCCGGCCATGACCGGCCGCGCCGACGGCGACGCCTGAGGGCACCGTTCCCCTCCTTGGAGGCGTCGGTATGGACTGATCTCCTCACTTCACCTTCCCTAACATGTAATGGGATGAGCGAGTTCTAACCAACGACCTATTGTAATGGAACCTATCCACCGCAACGGATCGTACTTGGTATTTCATTTCAACTACTAAAGTATATCACCTCTAAAATAAAAAGTGCACATTCCGAATATATTTTCATTTCTCTAGATTTTCAAATTTAAAATTATTCGGATTCAAACAAATTTTTAGATAAATTGTTTGAAACAAAATTACATACATTCATTCTGTGCTATATTTTCTTTTGTCTAGATTTTTTAATCTAAAATTATTTGAATTCAACCAAAATTTATTTATATATTTCGGAAAAAATATACATAAATTCATTCTGACCTATGTTTCCTTTTATCTAGATTTTCCAATTTAAAATTATTTGAATTTGAACAAAACTTCCCTTGATTAATTCGTAGGAAATTTACATACATTCATTATGAACTATATTTATTTTATATAGGTTATTCAAATAAAAATTAGTTGATTTCTCTGAAAAAAATTACGCACATTCATTCTGACACATATTTTATTTTATCTAGATTTTCAAATTATTCGAATTCAGACAAAATTTTGTTCGTTTGTCCCAAAAAAATACGTACATTTATTAGGCACTATGTTTCCTTTTATCCTTATTTTCAAATTTTAAATTATTTGAATTCAAACAGAAATTAGATGATTTGTCCAAAAAAGATGTAAATTCTTCTTCACATATAATTTCTTTTAGCTAGGTTTTTGAATACATAATAAATTAAGTTTATTTGTCTGAAAGAAATTTATGTATATTCATTATGAACTATATTTTATTATCTAGATTATTCAAATTCATTCATAAATTAGTTGTTTTATCCAAAAAAAATCTGTACATTCATTTTGACCTATAGTTTCTTTTATCTAGATTTTCAAATTTAAATTATTTGAATTTGAACTAAAAATTACATTAATTCTGCACTATATTTTGCTTTATCTACATTTTTATTTAAAATTACTCTAATTCATACAAAAATTTAGTTGATTTGTCCAAAAAAATATGTACACTCATTCTGCAGTATATTTCCTATCTAGATTTTTAGATTTAAAATTACTTGAATTCAAACAAAATCTAGTTGATTTGTCCGAAAAGTTTATCTAGAATATAAGTAATTTTCGTAAATAGAAAAAAAAGAATACATAAGATAAATTGTGCTTATCTCTTTAAATGTCATAGTGGTCGGATGGTTGGCGCTCGCACACGCGGCGAGCTTACGTGGTCATAGGTTAGAACCGATGCCTTCCCCTTTTCTCATTTGGTTTCTACTTTAACTCGTACGGTTTATCTTATACTATAAAGCTAATTGTGCTATATAAACGTCAATAGTAAGGAGGTCAAGTGGCTAAGCGAGGCGAATCATAGCAGGTCGTGTGTTTGAATCCTGCTGCCGCTCTAGCACTTTTCATTTTATTTGAGGGTTTTCTGCATAAATAAATAAAATGCAAGGGTGTTTTTTGAAAAAAACAATGCATGCGGAATACCCACTGCGTCAGCCACTGACAGTGGGCCCCTGCCATGTTTTTTTTTGCAGGGCAAATTGGGAAGTTTTATTCAACAGAAACCACGCCGGCAGCATCTGCCAGGAGGCTAGTTACAAGTAAACTAGGAATAGAGTCTAACCAACAATCTGTTACATCCATCGTGCTAGCTTGCTTCGCACGAAGGTGAGCAGGAAAATTTACTGATCTCAACACATGTTGAATAAGAAAAAAATTAAAAGAGCTGGCGTGCTCCCCAATCTCGTCAAGAATCGGCGCCACCACTGAAAAATCATGGCGCGAGTGCCAGAGGTTAACAACCTCTTGGCTATCCGTCTCCAAGATGACTTGATCATGCGAAAATTACGCCATCTCGAAGAGCCAACGCTTCAGCCAGAAGAGGGTCTGTGATTCCATAGTATGGCTTACACCATGCAGCCTTGAAAGCAGACGGAGAACGTGCTACCCCTCCAACCCCTCCTCGGCGGGACTCCATGGAAATGCTACCGTCGACGTTGATTTTTATCCACCCATCATCCGGCGGCCTCCAACCATGACCAGGCAAGATCCGAGCATGATCTTGAGGTAACTCTAAAATCGCTAAAGCTTCCTGTATGTGCTTCATGGACCGAACAGGATCAAACTCTCCTTTGTCATGTGTGATGTTGTTGCGTGAAGTCCAAATAGCCCACATAATAGACACAAGTTTTGCTCTATCAGAATCTGAAAACAGAGACTCACACAAGACATCCTTAACCCAAGTAAGAGGGTGCAGGTCTGGTCGCTTAACATGCAGCCACTGCGGGGCTTCGTTCCAAAACCTTCTCGCATGGGTACAGTTCAGTAATGCATGCATCATATCCTCCTCTGAACTCAAACAGATTTTGCACCTGCTCTCGCTGGATATATGCCAATATTTCAGTGTACTTTCGACGGGAAGAATCCCTCGCATCACGCGCCACCAGAAGACGCGAACTTTGGGCAGCACTTTGAGTTTCCATAACCGAGACCACAACTGTTTATCCATCTCCGAAGTATCTGTAGTCGTCCCTTCTTCTAGAGCTTTATGCTTGTTCTGAATCATTAGAGAGCGATACGCTGATTTTACAGTATAAATCCCGGACCTCTCAGGCGCCCAAGCATAGAAATCATCTCCCCCTCTAGTCCTCAAAGG